TAGGTTCACGATGTACAGGACCTTGCCACTTATCCATTTGAACATCCTCATCTCAGCTACAGTCATTCTATGGGTACGTTATTTCTTGACCACCTAACATTCCTTCCCATGAAACATGGTTGTTCTTACAGCCGTCTTATAGAACTTCCCCTTTAGTTTTATTGTTCTATGGCGACCACATAAGACTCTAAATGTATAAGTTCACTGCGTCCATCCAATTTTAATTCTGCGTAACATCTTCCTCAATCTCACCTTTTTCAAGGATTATTGACCCAAGATATCGAAAATAATATCATTTTGTTTTTCTTGGCCCAATCTTAACTAATTCCTCGTTTAGGCTCCTATTATCTCTTTTAGGTACTTCTTGGCCTATGCCTATTCATCCAAATTGGGAACAGCTTGGCACTAGCGAATTCAGTTCCTCAAGAACTGGCCTTTTACCTTCTACAACCAGGGTTCTAAACTCGCATTCATTAGTAATCTTTTGTCCTCACTGACACCTCCAATTTCTGTAGCCTCCCTAGACTGGGAGTCAACACCTGGGCTCTTGACTACAAAGAATCCATATTCCAATATGAAAATTTTTAAAGGACAAAAATTAAGTGCAGCTAGATGGTAACGTTCCCTTTAAAGTCAATTTAAAATATGGTAATGTATACTTTCCCGAGTCAAAAGGGTATTCCCTTAAAGACTAAAAGTTTGCAAACTTGTTTACACCATCAATCATTCATAGAATGGTTATTTCCCTTTAAACATGTCCAAGTCCAACTTATGTTGTCAAATTGTATTGTCAAATTATGATCTCGTTGAAGATATAATGCTAGTCTTAAATTGCTAGTGAATGGCGCCTTAACTAGTTTGGTTGTAGACTTGTACCACAGGTTTTCAATGAAGATGTCCATCTTTAGCCTCAGAGAGGCCATCACGTGAAGTTCTTAGAGTGTGGCCCGTAAGGCTTGCGTCCGTTTCATATGGGCCCCTTTAGTACATACTTGGAGTTTACCGGGTGAAATGTTTCCCTCAATGCTGACCCATGAATGAGGAGTGTGTATGTCCTTATCTTTTCTGCATACATTTAGTTGGTAAAGCCTTCTTGGCCAAACCAAGTGCAAGAGGACTTTGTGGTAGCAATTCACATGATTCAACCGTAAAAGTTCTTGGTAAAGCCTATATTGTATTAAGTTCTGGAATGGTAGTGGGACTTGTTTTTAACTCTCTGTATGACTTCTTACAAAAACTGTGCGTGATGGTACTAACGAGTTATTTAAGTTAGAATAGATCTGATAGTGACAAAGTTTGCAGAATGTTGGTTATTCTTTCGATAAATATTATTGTGGGCAATCTTGAAAATTGTCTATTGGTGAGATTTCTATTATTGCACCTAATAGGTGAAAGGTATTGCTATGTGGAAGTCAAGGTATTAAATTCAAAAATTTTCTTTTACTTTATTTCAAATACCTAAAACACACTTACGTGGGCCACAATATATTGTTGTAAAATGAAAATAATGCCCTAGATACAACTTAGGATTTTATTTTTAGCGCCAAAAGAAATAGACACTATCCAAGAGCTTTAAAATAACTTCCACTTTAATTTTTAGCACGAAATAAGTTCCTGAAAATTTACAGAAAATAAGAAATAATATTGTAAACTAATTTCAAACTATTGGTAAGACTTACTATACTATGCCTGGAGCTACCCTACAAGGACTTGGTACACCCCACATCCGATTCCCTGACCAATGACGCACTTTTGCTTCTTAAGGTGTTGCTGGAAATTCTGAGATACGAAAGCTTTATAAACAATACTTCTTTCTCTAGGATTTTAGAGAGCTCAAAAATAAACTAGGGTTTATAGAAACCCTAACAAATTAGGGCTGAATATGTGAGTTGATCTCTCTCTAGGCTGGGCTTCTCCCTCCTTTCTTCAAAATGCAACAAACCTCTCTTAGGGTTTGAAAGTCCCACCCTTTTTCCCTTTTTATTTTCTTTCTTTATGGAAGCTACTCAAAAAAGAGAGAGAATGAGAGGGTGGTGTAACTCTCTCTAAGGCAAAAGAGAGGGTCACATGGTCTTCAAGAGGGAGAGAGAGAGAAATAGGGAGTGATGGAGGGAGAGAAAAATGGCGTAAGAGAGAGAGAGGGAGGGGGGGGGGTCTTGTCTTGGGGGAGAGAGAAAAATCTTGTTAATGGAAGAGAGGGTTCAAATTAGATCTTTATATAGAAAGAAATCTATCGCCTAGTTTAAATATGATTTCTTCTCTGTATTGCCTTATCCAGTTTCCAGCTGGACCTTTAGGATAAATAGAAAATCTCTGGGGTGAGAGATATTTAGTCAGAGCCATCCATCTCAAAAATCAACCATCATGATTTTGAGTGGAAAGATAAGAATCTTATCCCCTTAGATTTTTTCCGAACTCCAACTCCTATTTAAAATTGAAATAGGATCAAACTTAGACTTTATCTAGATCTTTTATTTAAATTTGAAATATAATCAAACTTAAAGATTAGAGAAAATTACATAAAAATCCATTATACTTTGCGTTATTACCGATGTACTAAATAGTTTCCGTTATTATATGTTTGTCTATTTTTTACCTTTTATAACGTAATTTTTTAAAAAAGACTACTCTATCCTTTTTCGGATGTTGAACATCCGAATTGGTGGGATTTTCGGATGTTCATCATCTGAAAATAGGCCTAAAGTTAAATGTTAAATTTCCTATTTTCAGATGCTGAATGTCCGAAATTAAGGAATTTTCGGATGTTCAACATCCGAAAATACGGCGATAGTTTAACGTTTTTGGATGTTAAACATCCAAATTTAAGAGATTTTCAGATGTTTAACATTCGAAAATAGAGAAGACGAAGGTTTATTTAACTATCAGGGTATTTTCGGATGTTGAACATCTGAAAATCTCTTAAATTTGGATGTTCAACATTAGAAAATGTTATACTTAACATTAAATCATCGGGGTATTTTCGGATGTTGAACATCCGAAAATCCCTTAATTTCGGATGTTCAACATCCGAAAATAGGAAATTTAACATTTAACTTTCGGCCTATTTTCGGATGTTTAACATCCGAAAATGGGTAAAGTGGACTTTTTTAAAACATTCTGCTATAAAAGGTAAAAAATGGACATACATGTAATAACAGAAACTATTTGGTATATCCATAATAATGCAAAGTATAACTGATTTTTATGTAATTTTCCCTAAATATTATCTAGATTTCTAAATCTCTCATAAGGATAGCAAACCAAATCTAATTTGAATTAGATTTACCTAAATCAAATCAAATTTGAATTAAATATACATATTTTAACATTTTAAAATAGAACAAAAAATTAAGAAAAATGGGACGTGCCCCCTTTCCCTATAAAGTGGCGTGCCCACTTCTCCTTGAAAGGTGGCGTGCCAAAATAAACAAAAACTTTTTTTAAAAAAATGCGGTGTGCCCCTCTTGTTCCACAAAAAATGACGTGACCTCCCCATTTTTTTAAAAGGTGGCGTGGCCATAATTGTTCTAAAAAAATTGGGACGTGACCCACTAGGGGGTTGAATCCTTGGTCCCACAGGTGTTATTTAAAGCTCTGAAATTTTCATAAATAACCCTTTGATTGAAATTACAATTGAAAATAATATTTTAAAATTTTGAAAAAATATTTAAAAATCGTAAAATATTTCTAATACTAAAATAGAATATACTATGAGTGGACTGCTACTAATGGGTCAAAATTAGCAACATTAAGGGCACTCCACTCGCCCCAGAAACCATAATCTACTACTGTTCTCTTATCCAACCCAACAAAGTCTTATGACCCACAGTCTCTTTGCAGGGGCTTATGATATAGTGGGACCATAATTCTGAAATGTGGATATTAGTTCCCCCCTTTAAGAGCAAGTCTAGGTCTTGTCACCACAGTGCAAAGAGGGCCCTCTCTATGCACATATACGTATGTCCCTCTATAAGGCAGCTTCCCATGCGGCTGTTATGTGTACATGTTGTGCGGAAGTTTGTTGAAGCTTTGGCCCTTGCTCTCATTGGCTTACAACTGCATACAGGAGACCACGCCATTCTCCTGGCCTACAAACAGGATCCCTGGGCATCTTTTCGACCTCTGCAAGGGATGACCCACTGCAAATCCTTCTGAGTTGTGCCACATGCCCAGTGCTAAGGGTTTTGGACATGACCAGAGCCATAAACTACCCAACCCTTGGTCAGTCAACACACACACACCCACTAAAGTGCATGTTTCACTATATATATCATTTTTACAAGCTCTCTAGGCCTTTAAAGGCTACAAAACCCAACAATAGAAGCCCTTTTTCAGGTGTTTTGTTGCATTTTCATATGTTGAGTGCCACAAGAGAGAAAAACCTCATGGAAAATTACAACTTGAAGTTTTTCTATGTACGTTATCCTAGAATTTCAATTAAGAAATCATCCAAGAGTGTTGCTATTGTTTTGATTTGAGTTGATATAGTTTTTGAGAAGCAGATGGGGTGCTGGAGTGTTACTTGGATGTATATCGAATTTTAAGTTTTTATTGGATCACTCGTCGAGGAGTTTTATTTGAAGTCTTGTGGAGAACTTATCGTTATCTCAATAATTGAATTCCATTGTTCTATGCAGTATAAAAGATCTTAATACCATCCGTAAAGTTTGTTTTCTAGTTTGATTTAAAATCTATAAATTTATGCTTCTTAAATTTGTGCAGAACTAGGATCTTTTGTTAGCCTGGTGTATTCAACTGTGTGCTTTTCCATTGTCCAACTATTGAAAAGTTCTTTTAGAATGGGTTTCCTGTAACAGTTTTACTCCTTTATTGATGTTGTTGTATATTAATTTAATATTCGGCAAGTGTCGTGTCAATGTGTTTCAAAGATGTTGTTTCTGCATGAGTTTAAGAGTGAACAAGAATTGGACTATTAGTCATTTTTTCTTCTTTTGATACCTTGGTTTTCAAACTCGTGTTATGCTTTTGTATATTTGCAGAGTACAAGCAGATCAACGTGCAGGAAGAGCTGGAAGAACCTGTCCTGGAAAGTGCTATCGATTATACCCATCCTCTATGTACTATGGAGAACTTTTGGAAGCAACGGTTCCAGAAATACAGCGCTCATCTCTTGCTGGAAGTGTTCTTTATTTGAAATCATTGGACCTTCGTGATATTGATGTTCTGCAGTTTGATTTTCTTGATCGACCATCTCGTATGTTATAAGATCCATTGAGTATTTGATCTTGAACAAGCTTATGTGAAATGCTCTCCCAATTGTGGTCACTTCTCTAGTAAATACTATCATTGCTCCACTAGTAGTTTTGTTGTGTGTTACTGGTATTAGCCTTTCTTATTCTATGTAGTTCTGCATCCTGTGATGATCGAACATGGGCATGGTTACTGCAGCTTTATCATTAGAAGATGCTTTGAAGCAACTATACCTCATTGATGCAATCGACGAAAATGGTTCGATAACCAAAGTTGGACAACTGATGGCTGGTATGGGATTTGATTCCCTGATTGTGTTTTTTTTTTTTTTTACCCTTGTCCTTAATAGTTTTTTAACTACTTCTCTATGACCAAGCGGATGGAGGAAATAAGGACAGTCAAAACAACAATACTATACTTTCTTTATAAGCAGTGTCTGCTCTAGGTGATTTATCTCATGGACTTCTTGCAAAAAGCTCTCTCTATATGATATTTTTGAATTGCTATTGTGCTATCCCTGGAAGCAATGTACCTGCACTCGAATTAACTTTACAACTCTTGAGTTTATTCTGATTTTAAACTTCATGGACTTTCTTAATGAGTTACTCGGGGAACGTTTTGGAATCACCCCCTTGGTGCATTCTCTTGACTGATGGTTCTAACTACCATCCATAGTCTGAAAAATGGTAGTCAGGACAGATACTCGTGACATTGATTGGGTTCAGTTCTCAGCGTAACATAAGCTCTCAAAGGGCTGAAGCCATGAAAGGATAGAGAGTGACTGTAGAGCTATTAATGCAAAGAAAGATAGCTTTGTAGGAAATCTTTAGTGACATATGTAGGTCTACTAATATCCTCATTTGGAAGAAACAATGGTACCCTAATGCAATAATTGTGATGCTGGCTGATTGTGGTTATAGTTATTGGGATCTTCTAAGTTCTAACCATGGTGTTGATTCTGCTTTGAAGCTCACTCGTCTCTAGGAAAGGGAATCCTTCTCGTCTATGATTTTTAAACATTGGAATCTCGATCTTTCCTGTTAGGGAGCAAGATCCCGAGTTACTAGGAGTTAAAATGCAACAATTTAGTAGATAAAGAGATGAATATTGAGGAAGATTAAGGATTAAGAGGAGAGTTTTAGAGAGAGAGCGAGAGAGAGAGAGAGAGAGAGAGAGAGAGAGAGAGGGAGGAGCTAGCCACGTTGGGGAGAGAATGAGAGAGAGGAGTTACAGTGGTGTCCTAATGGCACTTAAATCTCATTTTAAAATAAATAGAATTAAAGTACAATACTGCCCTTAAGTAAGAGAAAGACCAGTAAATTCTAGAGACTTAAATGCAAGAAAATAAATATAAACTGTGCTACTCCCAAGAATCCTCCTTAAGTTGGTGCACAGATATAGATCATGCCCAACTTGTTTAAGATCACTTGTAGTGTCAAGGTTTCCCAACAGCCTTAATGTCTGCTGGCTGGTCTGTTGTTTGACATATGGAAGGAAAATTTATTTGGTAGCAACTCTATCTTGAATAAAATGTTGATCTATATTCTTAGTTCTATCATGATGGGCTGGATTTTGAGCTATGCTAATAGTTGCCTTTTTATCACATTACACAAAACACGGAAATTGACCCCTCGACTGAGAAGCCAAGTTATAGTAAAAGAATGTTAAGCTAGAGTAATTCACATGAACCAGAAGCCATGGATCTGTGCTCAAGTTCTGCACTCGATCATGCTACAACTAATTGCTTTTTCCTCCTCCGAGTTACAAGGTTACCACCTACAAAAATACAGTATAGCTTGATGTAGATCTTCCATAAAAGATCTATCCTAATCTGCATTAAGTGATAAGTGCCCAGGATTAGCAAACGACAATCTTCTACCTGGTTATGATTTTAGGTACCTGAGAACTCCGATGATTTCAGGTTGGATAGTTTGTAGAGCGTGCATAAACTGATCAATCATGCTGACAACATAGTATGTGATGTTATTCTGTAGGATTGTCAGTTGGTTTAGCCTCAAGCTTCCTGTTGTCTATTGTATTAATTTTTTAAGAGATAAACTTTCCTCTCTTAAACCTCTATTCCAAGAAAATACATCAATGGACTAGATCTTTGATTTCAAATTCTCTCGCAAGAAAGCTCTAAAGTAGTTGAATTTCCTTGGTTTGTTCCGAGAAACTATGTCAATGGACAAGCGTGTTCCTTGTTCCCCCCGAGGATATTCCTTCTCTCTTTACAGAATCTAGTAAATGTCCCACAGACTTAAAACACTCTCTCTTTTCTTTGGGGTCTCTATTTTCCAGTTCTTTCTCTTTCTTATTCTTAATATTTCCTTTATTATTATTACTGTAATTTCTCTTATCTTTACCCTTTCTCTTAAAACTATACGAGTTTGGCTTAAAACTAGCCACATGCACTGCATCATGGGGTGCTGGTGCATCACGTGCACTCCTTTCTTCCTCGGCCCTTAAAAGGATAACGAGCTCCTCTAACTTAGGAGCAGTCTCTCGGGCAGCAAGAGAGGATACAAACACCTCGCAAGAGCTAGGGAGGGCTTCATGTCGTTGGCTTCGAGCCACGTACTATGGCCCAGAACGCATGCACGTGCTCGGCGATCTTTGCTCCTTCCACCACCTTTAGATCACTGTACGTCTACATTGCAAGGGTTTTTTTGACTAGGGAAGGATTGACAAATTCCTTCTCTAGCCTCTCGTGGATGGCTTTGGCGCTCCCCAAACTCTCGTATTCCAATATGTAGGAATCATGCATCGAAACAAGTAGTATATACTTAGTAAGCATATTTTTCCGTTCCCACTATGCATATTCCTCTCTAGTAGTTTGAGAGGCATTCCCTCTAGGAATTGGTAGAGGGTTTGAATGAGCATATCGTGGAGATTCTCCTCATAGAAGACATATCCCACTTCCGCTTCCAAGATTAGTAGTTGCGTCCATCAAACCTTTTTTATTTTAAGAGTTCGGTTGTGAAACTTTCTGCGGCCATATTTCTCGACTCCAATTACAACAAGTTAATGAAAAATAAAAAAGGCGATGGATGCAAGAAGTCCTATCTCTAATATCAATGAAAGTAGGATTATGTGACCCGGGCAAGTATAATTCTATAAAAAACATTTCTTTTTTTTTCTTTATTTTACCACCCAGATCACTTACAAGTGTCTAAATACAATATATGAATTAATAAAACCATGAAGAATTCCAAGGACTCTCACTTGCCATCAAACAAAATATCATTCAATACATAAATCTGACAATTACACAACACTTTGAATGAATTAAAAAAAGCATGAAACTAAACAATACCGCATAACTTGCCTCAGGTTAACCCAAGAACTTCATACGCCCCACACTGGATTTCCTCTACCAATGTCACATGGGATCACGGTCTAACCTTGTTTTATAACTCGGGAAGGTTAGGTAAAACTTCTTGAGAGCATGACATGGGATAGGGCTTTGATCAAGGCTCAACACAAAAGCAAATCTCAATGCACATAGGCTAGGGCATGCCCTACCCTTGTGGCTTGGGTGTGCCCCCTTGGATTTCTACCTCCTACCTAAATTTAAACTCTAACTAAGAGAGAGAAATAGAGAGAGAAATTGGGGCTTACCTACCTCTAGGGTTTAGAGAGAGACCAATCCAAAACCGAGGTGCAGAGAATAACTCTCCCATAGAGAGTATTTATAGAATAGAACCTAGAGTTTTGGGGTTGCTTGCCACCATTATGACTCAATCTTGACCTTTGATCATAAAAACCTGTGATGTGAAGAGATCTCAACCCTTCATTCCTTAGATCAGCCATCGTGATTAAAAGGAATGAGGTAGAACCATTGTCCTTACTTTCCCTAACTCTATTCCCATAAAAAATTGTGTAGAGAAAATACTATGTTTTTTCAAATCTAATTTCAATCAATCTGTACACTTGCTTATTTGTGGTCAATCCCTTCTCATAACACTTTCCTTTCATTTTAAAACAAGTGGGTGGCTTCCATCACAAGCCATATCAAAAAGGAAAGAAGAGGAAGTGGGGCATCCCACACTTCGAGGGCCATGTGGGCCCCACGTCCCCACTTGTGGGCTTATATGTGGTGTGCCCAAAAGTCTCAATGGGCCCCCACATCGTAAATTATATTTTAGAATAATAAAAAGAATTTTATAAAACCGTTGAATATTTTATTTATTTCTTTGATTAAAATAAATCCAGAAAATTGATTTTTTCTTATTTAAAAATATTTTTTAATAAAATAAAATATCTAGAGAGGTTTAAAAATTTATTTTAATTAACTAAAATGTAATTAAGCATATTTAAGAAGATTTGGTGGGAATTGGATCCAAAGAGTTGGGAATATAACAAATACAATGAGGACTTCATCCCTTCTAGAAACTGCATCTTACTGCATCTTTTCAAACTGACCAAATAGTTCTCATGACTCACAACCCTTCGCAAGGGTTCATGCTTGGACTATCAAAGTCAACCAATAAATGAAGGGGACATGATTCTAGCCCATGGATTATAGGTCCCTTCTTGGGAACAAGTCTAGGCCCCATTTTAACACAATACTATATGGGTCCTTCCAGTGTTTCAAAAAGCGTTAGGCGGCACTTAGGCGATCGAGGGCGTCCAGGCTGCCTAGCGCCTAGGTTGGCACCCAGAACCTAGGCAGCCCAATGCAATTTTTTGTTTTGGGTTTTCTCTCTCTAAAATAGCTTCTAATGGGTTTTAGGTTTCAAACAAACTTAAAACCTACAATTTTGGCTTAGTATTAAAAACATGAACCAAAAATACCCTCAAGGAGCTGCGTTTCTGCCCTTGGGTGAGGTGCAGGCCCTGGGCAGCCGTCTAAGCGGGCGCCCTGGTGCTGGGCGGTCTGCTTTTTGAAACAGTGAGTCTTTTTAACACAATCTAGTGTTGTAGGGAGTCATCTCTTCGGCACATATACACAACACACACCCTCATCCAGATGGCTATCTATTGTACATGCCGTGTGATGGTAATGATGAGGATTTTGGCCCTTGTCTTCTCTCGCCAGCCATCACATATAGGGGTCACACCCAATCCCCTGACCAACTGCTCTGGGCACAATTTCGACCTCATCAAGGGATAACCCCACATCAAAACTCTTATTGGTTGCGCACAAATGTTCAGGGTTACAGGTTTAGACACCAACCTGGGTTATAGCTAGTCAAAACTTAGGCGAGTCAAGGCATTGACAATGCTTGATAGTCCAAATTGGACCACACTTCCATTGGGGCCAATATATCACTATAAATAATTTTAGTGCATGCTCTCATAAGGCCTTTAAATTGCCACATAACTCCAACAAAAACACCCTTGAACTCTTAAATGGCGAAATCTGGGCACTATTGTACGATGAGCTACGGTAGAAGGAACGAGTCAGCTAAAGATGGGAGAAAATGGTAATAACTAGTGGAAGGGTCAGTGTTATCCAAGTACTGGGGAGAGGGTTGTGTGCTGAATGACATGTATTTATCACTGTAGAAGAGGGACCTCCACTGATAAGGAATGATTAAGAGATATGGCGTGAAAATGTCTTTTGAGTGAGTAAGGGAGGGAGGGAATGAGAATTCGCAAATTCAGCTGTGCCAAGGGAATGAGAATTCACAAATTCAGCTTTGCTAGGAGCAAAGGTTCACAAACTGCATGAGTGTAAGGAGTAGCAATCATGACCCTGCCATATAAAGTGGGCAAGGGGTGATACTTATGTTGGGAAGGGATTGTCTCATCAAGATATGGAATGTTCAAAGATTAGAGTTTTGAGTGGGAATTAGCCAGTTTGCCGAGACATTTGAGACCAGTTTTGGGTAGGGAACGATTATGGTTTTTCAGTACTTCTTGATATCTGTGTTTTCTTTTGTGCTTTGGTACAACCATCATTTTATGTGGTTGCTATCTATAGTATGTATGGAATGATGGGAGCATGGTCACTACCTTAACAATGACTTTGAAGTTTAATAATTCTATCTCCTCCCTACTTTCTCTAGTTCATGGTCATTCAAAGTTTTCTTGGTTTCTTCTTAAAGAGAAATTGACAAAAATTGTATGGCATTGTTGGGATTTGAGATCAATTTAGTGTTTGATCAAGTCATATTTAGGTCTTCCCATGCTTACGTATTCCATGTTCATATTTTCTTGTAGCGGTGTTGTATATGTAGCATGCTTGTTATTTAGTATATGTCAGTATTTGCGAAAATAATGGCCTTTGATGTATCACATGGTTTTAAGTATCTCTCTCTGATGTTATGCCCTTATTTATTTGTTTCAATGCAGAGCTTCCCTTGGAGCCCTCGCTTGCTAGAACTTTGATTGCAGCAAATGAATTTGGATGCTTACCTGAAGCTTTGACTGTTGCTGCGATGCTTTCGACTGATACCTTTTTGCTTCCATCTAATAGGTTCTTCACTCTTCCTTGCCTTCTTCTGTTCCTGTGGATTGCAATATAGACGTAGATTCACACATATATGTAAAGTCATATTTACATTGTTTATGGTTACAATTGCTGACATGTTTATGGACAACACACACATGTATTAGTTTTTAATTGCAAGAATGTATTTGAAAAATATGGTGAGTTGACTCTAGAATCACTCTAGTCAGCTTTCCTCTATTGGTAAGGTTGCATCTCATTGAGCCAACTTAGAATTGGACTATGACGTGTCCCTATCCAAGTCTACCTTTTCAAACTATAGAATATGTTGGTCTCTATATGTGTTCATGTGTGTGTGCATAGATTTGTAGAAACATTTATTTAGTTGGTATGAATTAGCCTTTGTATTTATTATGTGATGTATGCATGCTTGCAAGTATCAGTGGATGCGTCGACATTCTTTTATCCATGCATTTATATGTGCAAAGTTTAAAAAAATGCATGGTCGGATCACAATCGGCTGATCCGACCCAAGAATCGGTTTTACTCAGTTGTTTCCTTTGTATATCGGGAACCAACCTGTTTTAGAAGGGAATTGTCGATTCCTGTTAGAGAATCGGCGATTCTGTACAGGTGAACTTGCGATTCCTTTTCTGCACCAATAATGAACTATTTGCAGCCTTTTTTTAAACTTCTCTCTTTTTCTCTCTTTGCTTTTACAGTCCAAAAATGGACTGTCAATTGAAATGGGACAATAAGAAGCCATAGCTAGATGGCAAAATTCATCTATCAAGTTTCCATCGAAAAAACCAATTTGCTTCCTCTGTGTTTGAGAAATCCTCGATTCTTGGATTTTCAGCTTCAATTTAGAACTAAGTTCTTTAAAATTTGGGTTCTGAATGTAGGTAATCGAACCTTCTATAAGAATCTTGTTTTGATTTGTGTGAGTGAACAACGGATCTGTGTTGATTTGGCCCAAAAGGTTTTGGGTTCTTATGCATTACTGTTTTTGGGATCTTGAGATCCATCGAAAATTGAAGAGGGTTTCCTTGAAATCAAAGTTGGGGTTTGGATCTATAAGCCTTTTTATCTATTTTACAAGGTGTTAATAAATTTATAAATTTATATCCTTTTTTGGAGGTTTTTGCTCGAAATTTCTATATATCTAAGGTTTTTGGAATTCGCCTAAACATGGATTTCTTCGTCATTTTTTAACCAAATTTGGTAAAATTTGGTTTGATGAATATGCTGTTAGGAAGGATTAGTGCTAATAACGAGATTTTTTCCATTGTTTATAATTATCTTATTTTTTATGTACCTGTTTTTACCTTTTAAGATTTTTTTTTTTTCATGTTTTAATATGAAAATTTGTTGAGGAGTTTTATTTATAAGTATCTTATTTTTTTGAAATTTTTAATCGATATTGTTTCTTCTTTATGTTATACTTTTTTTTGCTATAAATATGATTTCTTCAAGAAATAGTTATTTGTGAGTTATTAAAATATAGTGTAAGTGTATAATTCCTTTTTAAAAATATTGTATTGTCAAATATAATTATATAAACTTATTAGTTTTTTGAAATTTTTTTATATTTTGTTGGTATCTTGAATAATTTTTTTATCTGTTTTTGTTATTAAAAAGAAAATTGATATATGACATTGTTCTTTTGTATTAATAATAATTTTTTGTAACTGTAATATTTATTCGAAAAGAACATCAAATGTTTTTTAAAAAATACCATCTTGAAACTTTTAATCATTTTTACAATAGAATATATAAAATCTAAACAACATACACGTGATAATAAATTGTAATTGTTATATTTTATATTACTCTCTCAAAAAAAATGTTATATTTAATGTTAGAATGTATATAATTAAAATATCAGTGCGTAAGTTTCTAGAACATTACTGGGAGGTATAAAATTATTGTTTGTTTGACAACTTTTCGGGTTCATTTTCAACAGTGTCCAAGTTTTCACTGTGTCCCAATCTAAGGAAGACCCTGCATGGCAGCATGGGATCAGATATGATCCAACCAAAAAAGACAAAATTGTTTGTATTTACTACCACATGCTCATAAATGTTGAGTTTTGTGGCCTTTAAAGGCCTAGAGAGCTTGTAAAAATGAATAACTTATGAAGAGACCTTCTCCCCTATAACAAAACTCCCTTCCATAAGAATCCTAATAGTCATAGCAGCCCATTTCGACTTCGAACTCCACCAGATGGATGTTAAGACTGCATTTCTGAATGGGGAGTTAAAAGAAGAAATTTATATGAAACAACCAGAGGGTTTCATAGAAAAGGATAAAGAAAACCTAGTGTGTAAACTTAATAAGTCCTTTTATGACCTTAAACAAGCCTCAAGGCTGGCACATTAAGTTTCAAGAGACCTTGTCATCTGCTAGTTTTGTGTCTAACCAGGAGGACTATTGTATATATGTCAAGGTCAGTGGGAGTGACGTGGTCTTCATATCTTTATATGTGGATGACATGTTAATTGCCAGTACTTTGATGAGTCCTCGTATTGGACACAAAAGCTTTCTTGTCACATTATTTTAATATGAAAGATCTTGGAGAAGCATCATATGTTTTGGGGATCAAAATTACCCAGAATAGAAAAGAGAGAATAATTCAACTATCTAAAGAGACATATTGCAACTAAATTCTTGAAAGATTTGAAATGGAAAATTGCTGGCCTATATTAACCCTCATTGACAAGAAGACCAAGCTTAGCCTAGCCATGTGTCCCACTACTCCAGAAGAAAAGAAAGCCATGCAGAGAATTCCATATAGAAGTGCGGTTGGGTCACTAATGTATGCTGTATCAGGGACAAGACCGGATTTATCTTTTGCCATGAGTTTTATTAGCAGGTTCTAGAGTAATCCAGGCATGGAGCATTGAAAGGCCATCAAAAGAGTACTGCGATATTTGAGAACTGTTAATTATGCGCTCACTTATGGAGGAGGCTCAGATATACAGATACAAGGATCTTCAGATGCGAAATATCAGAGCGATCCAGATGAGAATAAGTCCACATCCGGATATATCTTCACGCTTGCAGGTGGAGCTGTTTCTTGGTGTTGAAATAAATAGGATGTTGTTGCCCTCTTGACTATGGAGTCAGAATATGTGGCATGTTGTTTTGCAGTTAAAGAAGCAGTCTAGTTGAAGTTCCTGAATCAACTCAGATTTGATCCAATGAAATGTCTGTGTGTCAGAATCTTCTGCTACAACCAGGCAGCTATTTGCATATCAAAAGAGCCGAGGTTTCATAAGAAATCCAGGCATATAAAGTTGTGCTACTACCACATTCGCAGCGAAATCCGAGCAGCAGAGATTATGATTGCATATCTCTCGACAGAGGCCATGTTAGTAGATCCTTTAACAAAAAGATTGGTGGCAAATGCTTTTGCCAAACTTGTATATGGGATGGCCTTGAGAGAAATTGAGAGGGCGTGATTGTATGGCGTTCAAAGGCCAAGTGGGAGATGATGGGTTTCGTGGCCTTTAAAGGCCTAAAGAGCTTGTAAAAATGATCTTTATAGTGGAATATGCACTTCAGTGGGAGTGTGTTTGATGATTGACTAAGGATTGGGTGGTTTATGACCCTGGTCATGTTAAAAACCCGTAGCGCTGGGCATGTGGCACTATTGAGAAGAGTTTGCAGTGGGTCATCCCTTGTCGAGGTCGAAGGGATGCCCGTGGATCATGTTTGTAGGCCAGGAGAGCTGTGTGACCTCTTATGTGCAGTTATGGGCTTGTGAGAGCAAGGGCCAAAGCCTCAACATACTTCCGCACGGCATGTACATATGACAACTGCATGGGAAGCAGCCCTTTAAAAGGACATATGTACATGTGCATTGAGAGAGCCCCATTTGCACTGTAGTGACAAGTGCTAGACTTGCTCTTAAATGGGGGAACTGTAATCCACATTCTTGGATCATTGTCCCATTGTTTTATTATCCAACTTTGACAAGCCAATCATGAGCCTCTGCGAAGAGACTATTGGTTTGTTGGGTTGGATAAGAGAATAGTTGTGGATCATAGTTTCTGAGGCGCGTGGAGCGCCTTTAGTGTCGCTTATTTTGACCCACTGGTACCAGTCCACTCCAAGTATATTTCATTTTGATATTATAAATGTTTTTTTGATTTTTAAATATTTTTTCTGAATTTTAAATATTATTTTCTGCTGTAAATTTTTATAAAAGGGTATTTCTGAAAATTTTTAGAACTTTAAAAATAACACATGTGGGACTAAGGATCTAGCTCCCCTTGTGGCACTCCGTGCACCCTAAGGACACACCCTATTTTTGTACAACAATATTTGGTACATGTTATTTTATTGCTGAAGGGGGTGTCATGCCACATATTTTAACAAAAAGGGGCCATGCCCTGGTTTTCGGAAAAAGGGGTGGCACGCCTAAATATTTTGACAAGGGGGTCATCTGTTGTTTTTACGGGAGATCGGGGGGCATGCCACTTTTTGTGGCACAATCCCCCCACGCCATTTTTTTTGGGAAGAAAGGGGCACGCCCCCTTATTTTAAAATCAAATTTAAACTTGAAAATCTAAAGATGGGAAAATTTAATGTGATATGGTTTCCCAAATATTGAGGGAAAATCTAAATAATATTTATCTAGAAAATATTTTAAGTATGATTTCAAATTTAAAAAGATAAAGTTTAAATTTGATTGGATTTATTTTATAGAAGTGGATTGGGTCAAAGTGTAAGGGGATAATATTCTTAATCTTTCCATCCAAAATCATGATGGCTGATTTTTGGGATGAATGACTTTGATTAATCTCTCACCGCACAAATTTCCTATTTATCCTAAAATGGTGTAGCTGGAAATTAGATAAGGCAAATCCTATAGATAGATTTCTTCTAGATTCCCTTCTATTTAAATATGTTTAAACCTATTTGAAAAGACCCGAGATCTACTCTCTTCCCAAAGATTTTTTCTCCCAAAAGATCTCTCTCCCGCACGCAGCAATATTGGGGGTCTCTTCTCTCTCTCTCTC